CAGGTCGAAGGGCTCTTTAATAAACTAGATTTAAAGACCCACCCAAATATGACGCAAGACCTAAAGCAATCGAAATTGCGACTGTCGTCTGGAGATATTGATGAAGAAAATATTGCTTTAGGACTTTCGAAAGTTCGTACAAACCATAAAAAGCAATCGGTGGGATTAGTTCAAGACAGTGTGAAAACGCATGGGGAAGAAGAAGCAACTAAAATATTTTTAGATTTATATAAAATTTAAAGTCTGTCATAATCGTAATGTAATAAAAAAAAATTTTATAAATACGAATACACAGTAATAGATTTTTTTTATCGTTATCAAATATAAAATTCAAAATTGGTAATCATCTCAAAAAAAAAAAATCTAATAGTAATTTTTATATGAGACTATACATATATTTGATCTACATAGTACATTGGACACCCCACCGTAATGTCCTTCGGACAATAAGTGCACGTGCACTTATGGAGTTGTGACTGTATATGACCAAAGACAGGTTTTTTCGTGTTTTTCTACGTGTCGGGCTGGTCCGGGATAATCACATTTATGTTCCCTTTTGGATTTGTATCACTCGCACAAATAAGTGCACGCGCAATACTGGTACCAACATGTTCACTTTATTTTTAATAACTTTTTCTAACTTTTTATAACACACACGCTATCGTTATTTTGACGAGACTCCTGTTAAGGACTGGTCTATTTTTCACTTTCATAAAACCTGGATTGATTCTCACAGAGGGAACAAAGAAGAATTAACTTATAGTAAGGCAACGGACGCGCTTGTTAAAAGTCTCCAGGCGATTGTTCAACGAAGCTCAGATATTTCAAAAATATGGAAAGCTAACTCTCTTTTGACTGATCTTCGGGCAAGTACTTTTCTATACGGGAATGTCCTTCGCAGTGTTCTTTTTGAAGACTGCGTTGTCCACAACTAGGAAGACACAACTTTTCGTTGTCCTTCTGAGGATCTTTTTGATCGTTGTGGTTGCGACATCCATAACTAGGAGGCATGTGTGCTTTTTGACACTCCTCTGACGATCTTTTTGATTGTTATGGTTTTCTTAGCACTGAATATTGTTAATGCACTGAAAGTATTTTGGATAGAACTAATAGCTTTTTTTTTTTGTTGTATCAAGAAAAAGAATCAACGTAGCGCAAGATGCGATATTGATAAACTGTGGCTTGATGTTGAAAAAATTCTCCACGAAAAGATGATCAATGCAGGAACAAATATTCAGTTTATAAATACATCATGCGATAATATACAGATTAGTAACGTTGGAAATAAACGAACTCGTGAAAAAGAGAACGAGTCATCATCAAAAAAAGTCAGTATATAATTTGATTACTGATAATCGTGTGAACTGCAGTAGTTTGTCAATGACAATCTCTCTTTAAACTTGCATGTGGGTGTGCATCATGGAGAAATGTCGTCATCAGAGGTTTGATGTCTTCATTATTTTATACATATTTATTTATAAAATCTCATAACAGATTTTTTTTGTACAGAATTCAATTGTTCAAGAACTTACAAATATTGGTGGGATCGCTCGCTATAATATTATCTTTTTACCGGAAGAAAATGAATGCAGTCCAATTAAATCAATATTCACTAAAGAAAACTGGATAAAGCTTCAAGCGGATTGGCAAAAGGTTTGTAATTTATCATGTTTGTAATTTTTTTTTTTTTAACAACAAATTCATTATTGATTTTACCGTATTTCTGCGACATGTGTCTGTGCAAATCCCGATTTTTTCACATTTCATGCGCATGGGAATTTTTCGGAATTGCTTATGAGTTTTCGGAATATTTCGGAATCTATTAAAAATTTTGGCTTGCATTATAGTGGCTTCTTAGCATTAAGATATATATAAAAAATAATATACCGGGTGGGTGCAAAGCAGGGACGTGTGATTTTGTAATTTGCTGCAAATCACAGAAAGTATGTGGTTTACTGTGATTTACTTCGATTTACTTTGATTACAGTAAAATGTAGTTTTCAAGTGGGGATTTATATTTTCAAGTATATTAAACTGCTATAGATATATTTTTTTAGCAAATATAATAAATTATTATTCCTTAATTTGTAGGCTTTTCCAGGCAAATTTGTCTGGAAAATTTTTATAAATATACTTATGATTTATATATATATATATATATTTTTTTATTTATAATTTTGCTGTATACATGATAAGATTAATTACAATTTTTTTATTATGATGATATATTAATCTAATTATCTATTTATATTTTGTATAACCACTTTTATATGATAAATTACTTTTAATTTTCTATTAAAAAACTAGTTTAAGGTACAACTAAATATAGAAATAGGAAAGGGGATCTCTCAACTAGTGTTTTCTGTTACACCCACTTTTTAACAGGTGACTTAGTTTTCTTTGGATTTCAATTAAGAAACCACAGAAGAATTTTTTATCAGATAAATTCTATACCTTTACAAGCAGGTACACTGCTTCTAAATTACCCTGCCCTTATGGAGTTCACCCATACACTTACGGATGTGCTATCTCTTCACTCGGATCTTGCCAAACGGGCGTCCATCTTGCTTAAGTTTTTAGAATTTATGTGGTCATAGGACTTATTTTGGGTTTGCACCATACTTAATTGGCTCGCATTCCTTTATGTAACTTATATGTTATATGAACGCCATGTGGGTTCTCCTACTTTTTAGGTTGGTGAATACTAGGTTACAGGACTGAACCCCAACTTTGATAGGTACTATGCAGCATAGTTCTAACCAGGAAGATTGTAGCCATAACACAAGTAGAATTCGAATTTTTTCGTCATTAGTAGATTCAAACCCTAAACATGCCGCTTGGAGGTGACAACTTGACTACTTCAATAAGTCGCCACACTCTGATTTATATTTTTTAATTTTTAAAATATTTAAATAAAAATTTTTTTAATAATATTTGAAAATAAAGGAAT